ACAAACAAACAAACAAACATAGATTGGAAAAAATATACTGTATACCCGATCTCAAAGTGACCCACCCGTTTTTAGTTTTGTGGAAGTTATAAGTGAAAGAAATGGAAATGTATATTTTGATTTATTTGACTCTTATCTTTCAGCAAAGTTTAAATTAAATAGGTATTATTTTGGTTTGTTTTTGTGATATTTGTAATTATTTATTTGAATAAATATAGCGGCACCACAAACAATTAATTAATCCCCTAGCGGAAATAACAACGAAGAAAAAGAAATGCAATTTGAGAAAGATTGAAATAGCTAATGATATCTATGTTGTCAGTACTGGTACACTGGTAGAGGTGTTTCGAGATAAGTTTGAGAAACTACCTTTAAATTGCAAAATCAGTTATAAGACACGTATAGTAACATATGGCGCATTGATAGTTGAAGTTCAAATTCAATTACTAACACTAGTAGTAGTAACACTGTAGTTAGTACTACCAATACTAATAGTAATACTAATTACGAGAATTATTAGTAACTTTCCTAAGATTGAAGGAATATCATAAATAATGATAAACTATTAAAAGCTGACCCAGTGCCCATTATTATTCTGTTGATATAAATGTAACAGGTAAGTCTTAAGTTAGAACTTAGAATGTTAGGTTATGAAAGTAGTTGGTATGTATTTGTAACTTATGGAAGTTTATTTGACAATCTTTTGTAAAAGTGGTAGACTGTAAGTATGACTAATTAATAATTAAAAAGATGATAATGTAAAATATTGTATGATAAAATTGACAGCAGAATATTGTGGCACAGTTCAGTGGTTTATCACTTGATTGTTTTGTGCAAAAAAATGGGTGTAAAGCTTATTAACAACTTGTACATATTTGTACTTCAATTTTTATACTGCACTTACTTTTGTAAAGTAGTCACGAAGAAAAACTGCTAAAAAATCTGTCATTTGAAAATGTGGACATAATAAATTTAAAGTGATGCTATTTAACTTAAACACAGTGTAGATTCAAACACATGCCTTAATTCCAAACTTGTTGATATGAATAGATATTGTCACTGTTCATGCAAATTTGTAATTACAATCAGTCAGTACATTAACACAAGCTCATGTAACCAGTTTTTTTACATGCACAAACTGCATGATAATAGTATTGATCTTAAGTCAGTAGTTTTGAATAATAGTATTATTGCACTCTGTTTAGTTTTGAATGAATGATAAATATACAGCTCTTTCAGTGTTTTAGCTTTGTGATTTTTTTTGTAATGGAACAGTTATATTTTGGTAAAACTTCAAAACAAATTCTTCAATTAGCTTCTGATTAAATTAAATTGCTAGTGATATATTGCAGTCATTGCTGTGTTTTCTGGCTTATTTACATCTGTGATTTTAACTGTGTCATTTTTATGATATGTTAATTTTCTGGTATAAATGAAGTGTTGGGAATTGCTAATATTGTATTTGAGAAATGTGAAGTTGAAATTTCTAAGATTATTACTTAAACCTATATTACAATTTCAGTTTTTGTAAATGTATAACATTAAGTATGGGTTATATGTTTAGAATATCATCAGTACTATAAACTCTTATATATTTTAATAGAAATATAAAAGTGAATTAATTTAATTTTAACTAGCTTATTCATCAGTTTTACCTAATGTGTTTTCTAGGTCAATGTGACAGTACAGATGAAACATCTTTGGAGTTTAGATTTTAAGAAGTGAAGTGTTTCCTACTTCATTGTAAGAACTTGCTGCCTGTACTTAATTAAAAAATAGTAGTAATCTTTAACAGAAGTACTTGCAATGAAAATGTCAGCATTTCTAAAAGTGCAGTCTATGTGGGAACCTTACTCCCCAGATTCTCTGCTTGACATTTGTATCAAATATTGTTTAGAAAATGACTACATCATATGCAACATAAACACAGATAAAGACAGTGAACAACAAACATCTAGTCTGCGAGAAGGAATCTCTCTTCAGCTGGGAATATGTGAAAGGATGTTACAAATATATCAAGAAAGAATGCATCGTACAGTTGATGATACTTTTTTATGTGTTTTTAATGATCCTGTAAAAACAAGATTGAAAAAAGTAGACTTGTATAATTCTAATATTACTGATGATGGATTAGAAACTGTTCTCAGACATGATATAGATGAACTAGGCATTTCAAACTGCTTTAATCTGACAGAAAGGTCATTAGAACTGATAAATAGTGCTGGTTCAAATATACTGTCATTATGTATCGGGACAACTGTGCAAATATTTCAGCATAAAATGTTATTTTTTGAATTATTTATGGGAGAAGAACCTGAAAAAACTGAAATGTTTATACTTAAAACTCCAAACTTGAGAAAATTAATTTTTAAAGGCCTTGAAGTTGAAGTTCCAACACATTATGATTTTTTCTCGGTTCTTTTAAAGCCTTTAAAGATGCTGGTACATTTGGATCTTTCATCTTGTTCTCCTCTCAAAGACTTGAGCTGCCTTAAAACACTTGAGAACCTAATATCACTTATTTTGTATGATGTACCAAAGCTGCACAAACATATAACAACTATTTGTCAGCTAAAGAAATTAAGGTGAGTTTATAAGTTTAGTAGCAATAACACAATAGTTTTTTATAGTAACAATAAAAATAATAAAATTGTTTATTTTTGATATTCATTAGGCTTATGTGTGTTTTCTGAAAGGCCATTGCTTTTTGCAAAACATGGATAAGTTAATTATTTTAACTAACCACACTATGGCATTAGTGAGAAGTCTTGAATGCATTTCTTTACTTACAGTTCACATTCCAGATTATTTTGTGTAGATTTGTTTTATCACAAATTTGTTGGTTGTTTATCACTAACATTAATCATATGTAGTGTCAACAAGATTTCAATTTCTAGTGATAATTTTTATCTGGATTTGAACCTGGAATGTAATTACTTAAAAGCTTATGTTAGTTTTTTTTAAAAAACATTCCGATTATACCACCATTCAGAAGTACTTTTTCAGATTTTAATTCAGTTGTACATTAATACATACCAAGTTTGGTTGCTATTATTCATTTATATGTGAAACTATATGATTATTCAATGTCATTGTGTGGATTCAGTCCCCGATTATAATATAATTTGCTGCCGAAAGTGCCTCTCTCTATATGTTATATATAGTTGTGCATTCAGAGTTAAAAACATCAGTCATTTTATTTAGCATATTCCCTACTCATTTCTTTCAATACTGAATAATGTTGATCACTGCCTCATTAACTTCCAACTGGATGTGGTAGGAGTGGCTGTTACAACTGTTAATACACTTTCTAAGCACATTCAAAATTATCTTAATTGCAGAAAAACCTTCAATTTCATGTACATTTTTAAAGTTTTGATTGATTGTTTCTTGAGCTTGCGAGTTGAAATTGCTGTAGTTTGAGAAAAATGTTTAAATACTCTATCAAAACTTAAAACCACAAGTTATTTGGTGATGCTGTTAATATATTAATACAAACTATAGAGAGTAGTTGAGGCAGAATTTGTTTTTATTTGCTAGCCTATCAACTGCTTATTAAATCTACTTGCTCGTTCCACATCACTTATGTCTTTAATTAGATCTGTTATTTCTGTTATCATAATGCATGTTTTTTTAATGTGATTTTTCAAACAATCAAACTTATCAAAGTAAGTTTGATGATTCTTACATTTTATGACTTGCTTTTGAATAAGAAAAGATGAAGATTTTAAAATATTTTTTATAGCTAGTGAGTTTGCATTATTCTTATGATACATGCACTAATTTTTTGTTTAGTTTTATTATTAACATGTATAGTTGTACAAGCAGTGTTACCTTTGATGCACTGTAATGAATCAGTTTTAGACTTAGAATAGTGAGTAACAAGATAGATTAAGAAAGTGTATTTATTATAGCATGATTAATAATAATAAAAAAGTGACAGAATGATACCATAATGGGAAGGAATTATTTCTAATATCAATTGATATCCATACCAATTTGTAATTGATATAAAACTTAAGACATTGTTTGTCAAAGGAAGAAAAAACTATGTTAATCATTTTAATTCAAGAAATGTATTTAATATATAGTTTTAACAGTTTATATTATCTTCTTTCATTCTAATCATCACAAGTTCGATGAAAAACATGCAAATAATTGTATTCACTACATTCTCCTAATATTTTACTTTTGTTAATAGGTACTTATACAAACAGTTTGCCTTGAAAAATAATCAACTCTACTAGAACTTTTATATAAATGTTTTAGTATCTCATAAGATTATATTGGTTCTGGTTCTTTTTTATTATTATTGAATTTGAAGTCACTACTTCAAGAAGATATAGTATATCTAATTAGGTATACTCATTACTGAGTTGATTTAATTGTGATATTTTAAGGTAGCTTGCTCCGATCAGAAGTTAATACTATTTGTATCTGGTTTCTAAACCTATAAAATGTATGTTTAGGTTTTTCAGTCAAACTTTAAAATGTATATTGGAAATGCCTGTTATTGTTCCTGAACATAATGACAGATGACAAATTTTTTTGGTCACATCATCATATTTCGCTTCCCATCAGACAGCTAATTATTGTCCAGTAGTATTTTGTAAACTAAAATGTGATATATTGACTTTAACTATTTAGTCATGTCAACAGTTTATTTGTATTAGCTGCTTAACTGTGTTTACCAACAGTTTAGGTGGTAAATTACATCTTAAAACCAACTGTTATAGAAGTGCAGTAAATAAGTTTTTGTATTACTTTGCCATAACTTTGCTTTAATCTAATGACTAGTTAGTGCATATTTCAACCTCTGGTTTAGTTTGATATATAAATGTACAGTGTACAAACCTTTTGTCAGCAGTAAGATTATTTCATGATATGATGAAATTGAGTATTCATGCTGATTAAAAAAGAAAAAGCAAAATTGATATTTTCTTTCTGGTAATTTACGTTTTACATTCTTTTTTAATCCAGCATGTATACTTTAAATTGTTCAAACAATGTCATAATATGAGGTTAATTTGGTCTTCTATTTTTTTTAACATTTTATACTTATATGAAACTTGTATATGAAATTTTATTTCATACAAAATCTTTTTTTTATTAAACAAAACAAACATTAATTGCAACAAATACATCTAATAATTTAATTGTCTATTCTGTCACTTGTACTTTTAATAGTCATGGTGACAAACATGTAAACAATTATATTCAGTGCATTACGGCATTCTTTTAATGTTTCACATTTAAGAATAGCAACTTGCACATAGTTTACTTTTAACAATTATAACTATACTTTAACCTTTTATCATAAATGTTATAGTATATCGTAAGAATACATTTGTTCTGATCTTATTTTATTAGTGAAGTCAGTATTCCAAGAAGATACAATACATTGTACACGTGTGTCATTTCATTTCTTGTCAGTGAATGATACAGTAAATGGTACTTATCTTGCAACTTTTTTCAGTTATAAATTATCATTCAAATACAGTTGTTTTTCACTAAGCCTTGTTTTTCTTTTTAATATGGAGAAACAACATTTGAAAACTTGAGTCTTAGTTAGCTCTGTGACTTGAGATAATGTGTTAGTTTTCAAAAGACATTAGGCTTATTAGATTATTAAACTAATGGAGAAATAGAAAATAAAAAAATTAGTTTTGTATTCATATACTAGGAATATTTTCAATAAATTACTAGAATAGCTGACTTTGGTTGAATGTTAGCAAATATCGTTATTATCCAGTGGAGGCTATGAAGATGTGATTTTACAAAGTTTAAAGTCTTCTAAAAAAAGTATGAAAGTGAAAATTGTTTTTTTTTAATTTTTAATGAGATAATTGCATTTGAGAATTGTTATATTATTGAGATTGATAAAAATATGCTACTTATAAAAATGTGCATTCAAGCAATAAATTTATAAATGAAAAATGCTAATTCTAGAAAAATATCAGGTTTACTAATGAAATGAAAAATGTTGAGGTTAACTGAAATCAACCAAAAAGAAATTAAGGTTTATATTAGCCCAATGTATATTTTCAGTGGGTATCATATTACAGAGGAAAGTAACATAATTTAAGTGCTAAACAGTTTGTTTACTAGTGGTTTCTGCTGATGGAGATTAATTTCTAAAAAGTTTGTTTACTAATGATTTTGCAGATGAAGGAGTTTAAATTCTAAAGAGTTTCTTTACTGGGATTTTGTTGATGGATATTCTTAAACTACATCTGTTTTTATGAAAGTGAGAAGGAACATTCTTTGCAATGTTATAAACTTGTTAGTTTAGCTTTTTTAGCAAGGTGTTGGAATCTGTTGTTAGAAATAATTTAGAAAAGCATTTGGGAACTTGGCATTTTAGAAAACAAATACTCATTATATTTTAAAAAGAAAAGTTTTCCTAAACAAATTATTGGATTTTTGGTGGAGCATCAATGTTTTTTATTGAAGGAACTTTAATTGATTTTACTTATTTGAAATTTCAGAAATCCTTTAATGAGAAGCCATACAATAAATTATTTAGTAAATTAAATAATTATGGATTTTAATGTGAAGTTAAGAAGTGAATAGAAGAGTAGTTTTATGGTGGAAAACAAAAAGTAGTGATAAAAGAACTTTTTCTCCCAATTCAGAAAATCTGAATAGGGGTTTGATGTTATTTTTTATGTCAACATTGAGAATTGGAATATTTCACAGCTTATTGTGAATATGTAGATTCTGAAATGGGCTGACATTGTTTGTAAATCTGTATCATTTAGTGGGACTGGTACAAAATGTGAAAAAGTCAGTGCTAGAAATATTAATTATGATGTGGAAATTGGAATAAGAGTTACTTTTTGCTTAAGATTATGTTGGTATTGTATAAATAAAAAGGATTTAGGTGTAACTATGTATACATGCCCTTGTTATTATAAATATGAGAGTTTTGGTATCTTATTACAGAAATCTGGAATTTTAGTCTTTTAACTTTATTCAAAGTTTCAAACCCATCAAGTTTACTTCTTCATTCTCCACACAACTGAATAAAATCAGTAACAAAAGTAGTACTGAATGATAAGTTTGTGAATAATGTACAAAAAAAGTTAATTAACATATTTTTCAAGTCTTTGTATTGCATCATCAGTATGGAATCAGTTGGTAAGTTCTTTGATTAATTTGGAATGATAAATAAATTAGGGAACCATTCAAAATTCCCACTAGCTTCTGTATTTAGCTTTAACTAGGTTTTAGCATCTTGATGCTGTGAGAAGTAAAAACTCATCCTGTAATTGAACGTTTTATGTGTCTACATCTAACTCATTTTAGGATGAATCAGATAGCGGCTTGAAGATCTTTGTTAGTCATATCAAACATTGACTCTTAATGTTACACACTGTTTTGAAGTTTGAAATTAATTTCTTTGATAACCTGCAGGATTTCATCAATCTTTGATTATGATCTATTCTGGTACTTTCAACTAGCTTCAGACTAAATTTTTCTTTAATTATGGGAATTTGTTTTCTTTTTTATAATTTACAAATTGGAACAAAGAAAGTACAAGTAATATGAAACTGAATATTTAATGTTTTTTTTTTAGCTGGAAATATAAATTTCATCCAGTGGACTTCACAAACTAGTTTATTGTTAATGTGGAAATGAAATGGTGCTTTTGTTTTATTTCTATAGACATTTAGATATATCCCAGTTTGGTGAGCAGTACAGTTTGTATGATGACCCAAATCAGATTTTGAGAAAAATTATAGAGAGTTTGCCCCATCTCACTTCATTGGATATTTCAGGCACTAACCTAGCTGGGCCATGTGTTCAGGAAAGGTTAACTCCTGAAGAATTGAGGTATTTATTTTTTATGCATTTTTAACAGAATGTCTCATGTTCTAATGATGTATCATGTAATTAAAAAAAAAAGTCACTGAGTACCTATCTTAACTTGTTAGCCTTTATTTTATTTCAGTTGTAGTTTACCTGTTTTAATAAGCATTTTATTCTGTGCTTCATTGCTTCTTGAGAACTAAATTTAGGTACACACAATAGTGTAAATTTGATGTATAATTCTAAAACCTTATGAGTGAAAGCAAAAAAAGAATGTATAATAATATGTCAACCACACTATATATGCTGTGCCCAGTGCTGACAAAGCTTTTTGGATAATATCAAACTCATCAGTCCAACTGGCATACATTAGACACAGTAGTAGTTGATATGCTACTTGTATTATCAAATTGCATGAACAACAACTGTTATAATGGAACTACGTTGAATAAGTGAAGCGTAATAACAGTAATAGCACATTATTATTTATTTATTTTAACACCAGCTATTTATTTTTACTCAAATTAACTTTACTCATCATTCCACACTAATTATCAAATAGTTGAATTTTTTTTTAATGCAAATAGTACTATTTTTAATAAGATCACATAGATGCAGGTTTAATAACCTGGATGTATATGGTATGAGTTTAGCTTCAGCAAAAGAAAACAAAAAGTAAAGTAATGGAAGGCTGTTCTATCAGTGAGGTCACCTAAACATACCAAAGCAAAATTATCAACACCAGTTAAATATAGCCATTTACATCCACATAACTATGTAATAAAAGTTTAAAACAGTTGAAACTAACAACACACACCATTCCACAAATGTAGAAAAAGAACAGTATATATTACGTCAAAGTATATATTATGCATTTATGTTATCAAAGCTTAAACTATTTACCCTTAATATTGAAATTCTTATTTCCAGCTTCTTTGTTCCACATTCAAACATGTCATCCCTAACAAGACTATACAAATCATTTAAAATTTTGAATGTTTGAGTCAAGTTGTTTATAACCCTTTTGTTCTTTAGAGAAAGAGAAAGTAAGTCCAAAATGCTTACCTTCTCATTTAGCTTAATTAAGTAAATAGGTCAGGTATTTTAGTACCTTATCTCTGTACTCTTTCTAACATATGTTGATCTCTTTTTATTTATTTTTTTAACATCAAAACAAAATATTAATGCATATAGCAGAGTGACAACTTAAGCTAGTAACTTTATCTACATAATACCTTTTTATTACTCTTGTAGTTCAGACAGGAACATGACTCCTGTACCTCTAAGTGATATTCCAGGTTTGAGAAAGAGATCTGATAATCCTTTGGAATTTTTAGGACTTTATGGAACTCTTCATGAAGCTTGTTATCGACACCATATTCCTGCAAAGAAAGTGAGTGCTAATATTTTTTTTTGTTCAATGACAATTTTAATTTTTTATGGACTGCATCTATGCAGGGTGTATGAGTGTACAGTGTTTTAGTCACTGTACTGAGAGCTTCATCACAAACACAGGCCTCTGCCTAAGATTCTGCCTAAAAATTGGACTTAGGTACAAATTGTGTAGCTTTGTGCTTAACAAAAAAAGAAATGCTTATTTATTATTACATTATAATATACATGTAATTTTTAAAACCATATATTACAGTAATATATGATGTGTATGTACTGTACTGCAGTCATTTTATGACGTGCTGTTTTACAGTATTTTTAGTGAGATCATATACTGTGATTATTCATATTTAGATAATAAAAATGAGTTTGGAAGACATTTTTTGATCAATACACTTTTTTTTGTTATTCTGAGGTTACAAAGTTATTTTAAATATGTTGTTTTTAGAGTTTGATCTTCTGAACAGTTATTATGATTTATTGGAACCAAAATATTTCAAAATATATTTGACAAAGTTTTTGATTCGTAAAAATAATTACAGTATTGTTTTTATGTTTTGCACAATTATGAAACCTCTAACATCAGTCAAGTAAATGGAAGAAGCATTCTTCACCTTGCATGCATTGTAGCTTTCTTGCAGTGTTTAGTCATAGTTGTATAAATGGGTACAATTCAAAAATTTGAGAGGAATCAAAATTAAGTAATTCGGTATTTGTTAATTTTGTGAAAATGTTTACATTTGCAAATAACTTTCCAGCAAAGAACAAAATGTACCTACAAATTGTTTATGCATGGAAGTTTAACCAGCAGCCATTAGTTTTTTCTACTTAAAAACAAAATTTTCATGCTACCTTTCCAAATTTTAGTTCTCCATTGTTAGTTGTGGCATATTTTCTCATGATCTGACACTCACTTTGATATATTTCTTTATTTTTGTATACTTTTTAGAGATAGTTATTGTCATTATTGCATATTATTATTAAGCTTAAAATATTATTTGAAATAATTTTACAAAATTTTATTAAACTACAAATTTCACATCACAGGATTAAGGTTGAAAGCTTGTAGTAAGCACACTTGAATTAATGTTTTCAACTAAGAATTTCTTTTTTTTAGCTACTGAGTAAAAATGTTATACCAAACCAGATGCATGTTTTTCACTTGTAGATAACTAAGAGGTCAAATAGATTTGATGACAAAGCAGTTTGAAATGAATGAAAGTTTTATTCAGGATTAGATATGATCTTTAAACTATTGACTTTCATATGGTTTATGTTCTTTAGTTGAAGTATGTATATGCAAATCTGTTGCATCTGAATCACGTAATATTTTGTTCAACGTCTGTCTCTTTATTGATAGAATATATTGCTATATTTTTTGAAATAGTTTGATTCAGCAAGTTGCTATTCATATCTTAAAATGTAGAAAAATCTTAAAATTCAAATTCAAAAATGCTACTCACCTCTCCACAGAACAAATAGCTATTATATAACACCACTGCTGAAAATATTTTTTTTGCACATGTGCTAACTCTTTGAACAAAACTTCTACCCCTACAAGTAATAATGTGTACTACATCATTCTTTGATGCAATCAGCATTAGACTATAGCTGTTCTTTAGTTGGAGGCTGACACATTCTCCATTTTCAATTTCCACTTAAGCACATTGTGTGTATCCAAAGACTTGTTCAATCTTTCTTTAGCACTCCAGTAATTCCATCTTTTTTTTTCCTTATGAATAATAGAATTTTTATGGTTTTTAATTTTAATTTTAAATGTGTAGTTAACATTCAATATGTCATTTTTCTTACTTTTATTTTCTCGATTTCAATAATGAAAGATACAAATTTTTTGAACTTTCAGTTAGAGCTTTTGATACAAACTATTATTTTTTCTTGCATTAATATCTTTTCATATTCAAATAATAATGATTATGCCGTAGACTGGTACAATACATGCTGACACATGTAGTGGTGGAAGTACATCTAGAAACTGTATTTCTTAGATTTTTTCTAAGGTTTAGATGTATTTTTCTTGTTTGTAATCATTGAAAATTTAACAGTAACCTGACAATTTAAATAACAAGAGTGTAATCTACTTTTAAATTAAAACTTAATTGTAACTCTTATGACTGATAACTTCTTTTGACTGATGCCCCTTTACTACCTGGCTGAACTATAAAAGGAATATTAATGCAGATTTCTGTTAGTTCTCTTTGTGCATATACAAGTAATGTTAATTTGATTGTGTTTGAAAACTTTTACTACCCTTCTAAAAATATGAACTGCTCCAACAATCCTTAAACTTCTTTCAGAGTAAATACCTAAAATACCAAAACACAGATGAAAACTGTCCAAACAATAAAAACAAAACACATTGTTTATAAAATTAAAAACATATTTTTGTATGCCATGTACTTGACTTCACTTGAGTGACAGAAAGCAGATCTCTTAGTTTGAGAAGTAATATCAATGTTTTTCTTTCATTTGTGATGGTTTAACATGTTTTAAAAAGTTCATAATTATGTTTGTGTACAATTATTAGTAAAATTGGTATGGACAAATTCTGATGTTTGTAAACTGTTACAAATATTCACTCCTCTTTTTCTGAACTTTTTAATGACTTCTATCTTAAAATTAATAAATTAAGATATATTTGTACAGTAGTTTAACCTGGTTCTTCAGGTTCTATGTTTAAAGCTTGTGTACCTATTGTATTTTCTAATATATTATTGGAAGTAGGCCTAAGTATGCTATTTATTTCATGCATGTGTTTAGGACTTGTTTCTATTTTATTAAACAGTATAACTTATAAGCATATGTATATATCTAATTTGTATATAATGAGTATTTATAGTAACTGTATTTCAAATATTTCATCAGATTTCAGGGGATGCTAATGAAGAACAAATATTTACAGCTGCCCAGGTGTATTATGATAGACCTGAGTGTCTTCTGGAAATTTTGAATAATCTTGCCGATGTCTTTCGTTATAGTTCTTGCAGTAATCTAAAGCTGGTCTTGGATATAGTATTGATGTCTATGAATAGACATATACATGAAAAATCTATTCAAAGTGCTGGAAGGTAAGGTTTTTTTAATCTTCAGAATATGACACGTACTTAGTCTTGTAAATCTTAACTATTGTTTGTAGTCAGTAATTTGTAAAATGAAAGTTAATTATAATTTTGTAAAAAGGTTTAATTTTGTAGTACACTAGCATGCTTGACTGAATTTGAGGCTATATGGTTCACACCCCATTACCACAAAAGAAAAAAAAACATGCTTCACACGTTGGCCTGAGGGTGAGTTAGAAGTGACAGTCAAATCCTACTGTTAGATCTGATGAGAGTAGCCCAAAAGGTGATGGTGTGTGTGGTGTTGACTAGTTGCCATCCCTTTAGTCTCTCACTTCAAAATTAGGGATGGTTAGAACAGGTATCTTTTGAGCAGCTTTGCATAAAAATCAACAAACAAACTGTTTACATTAATATTTTGATTAGTAACTAGTTGTTCAGAAGTTATATTAACCCTTTCGAGACGGGTCACGGGTGAAAGGCCATGTCATCTCGTTTGTTGACTCGCATTCAAAATTTTGTTGAACTACTATTTCATGAATTTATGTCAATAAGTTTGGTATAAAACTGTAGATTATAATTCAAATTTTAGTACTATATATTACTCAATTTCTTAATTTAAAAGCAATATTAAAAAATACAGATAAACATAGATTTTTGTGTGTCACATGGTATGTTGAATGCAGCACTGGTTATAATTAGATGTTTGTGAAGTCAAAATACTAAGCTATAGTTTTGAACAAATTAGAAACTCAAATTACTGATTATTGACTAGCTGGAATATAAAATAAGAGCCTCATATCTTTTCAATTTTCTAAGATATTGCTCATGTAATAAATCAAGTACAGTGGTACCTCTTTCCATTTTTGGAAATGCTCCCTTATATACATTTACTTCTATATATGACCTGAATAACCAACTGGAAGCTCAGAATATCCCACTTGTGGCTTTCTCAGCCATTTTAACAGACTTGGTGCCATTTCTTGCTTTTGAACCAATATTTCAACGAGGTAGGGTGTGTCTTTAGTCTGATCAAAATTTTATATTTTTTAGACTAAA